GTGAAACCAGAAACCGGAAGCCACCTGAAAGGGCCATGTACACGTGAACAGAATGTATACTTTGCCATTGTTGACTGTGATGTTTTATGTATTCGTTCAAGTTGATTTTTTAAATTTTTATTGATTTTAGGAAGAGAGGAAGGGAGAGAGAAATATTGACTTGTTGTTCCACTTAGTTATGCCCTCATTGGTTGATTCTTGTATGTGCCCGGACCAGGGATCAAACCCACAACCTTGGCGTATCCGGGCAACGCTCTAACCACTAAGCTCCCTGGCCAGGGCGTGAGTCCCTGCACTTAATGATTTTGGGTCGATACCTGGAAGTGAAATTGCTGGGTCATGTAGTCACTCTATGTTTCTGTGCTGTTTTCCATAGTGGCTTTGGCTTTTCCATTTTACATACCCACTGGCAATGCACAGGGTTCCAATTTCTTCACACCCTTGCCAACACTTCTTATTTTTCTGGTTTGATTCCCAGTCAGGACACATACCTGGGTTTCAGGAGTGTGCGGGGGAGAGAAGGCAACAATCAACATTTCTCTCTCACATTGATCTCTCTCTCTCTCTCTCTCTCTCCCCATCACTCCCCCCTCCTTCCCCTCCTTCCTTCCTCTCTCTAAGCATGTTCTCGAGTGAGGAATAAACAAACAAATAAATAAATGCTATCCTAAAGAGAGTGAAGTGGTACTTTCTGATTTGCATTTCCCTAAAGAGCATCTTTTCATGGGCGTCTTGGCCATTTGTACAGTGTTTTCTTTGGAGAAATGTCTACCCAAGTCTTTTGCCCATTTTTGAATTGGGTTGTTTGTTATGTCCTTGTTGAGGTATTTATATTCTGGCTATAAAGCCCTTATCAGATGTATGATTTGTGGATATTTTCTCCCATTCTGTGGGTTGTTTTTCCACTCTATTGATAGTATCCTTTGATGCACAAACATTTTTAATGTTGCTAAAGTCTAATTGATCTATTTTGATGTTGTTGTAATCGCCTGTGGATTTGTTAAATTCATGTCATGAAGATTTTGACCTGATGTTCTCTTCTAAGAGTTTTATAGTTTTAGCTCCTAATTTAGGCCTTTGGTCTTAATTTTTTAAAAATATATTTTTATTGATTTCAGAGAGGAAGGGAGAAGGAGAGATAGAAACATAAATGAAGAGAAAGAATCATTGATCAGCTGCCTTTTGCACACCCCCTACTGCGGATTGAGCCCACAACCCGGGCATATGCCCTTGACTGGAATCGAACCCGGGACCCTTCAGTCCACAGGCCGACGCTCTAGCCACTAAGCCAAACTGGCTAGGGCTATTCAGGGTTTCTTGAAATTCCATATGAGTTTTAGGTTGGACTTTTTTATTTTTGCAAGAACACGCTATTGGGATTTTGATAGGGGCTACACTGAACCTGTAGACATTTTGGGTAGTACTGTCATGCTAACCATATTGTCTTTGAAACTATGAACACAGGATGACTTTCCATATATTTGCGTCTGGTTTAATTTTTCTCAGCAATGTTTGCTAGCTTTCAGCATGTAAGCCTCTCACCACCTTGGCCAGCTGCAACCTGTCCCAGCGCCACCGCCAGGGAAGGGTGGTGTCGGGATGGAACCCACCTCCATCTCAGTCCACGCACCTAATGCTCCCCCCTCCCTTTCCCTGAGCCAGGACCCGTGCCACCTCCTCGCTGAGCCCGCCCAGCCTGCTCCCCGACGGCTGTTGTAAGACCCTGGGGTACACAGGTGGGGTCCTGGCACCTGCTGGGTGGGTGACTTTGGCTGCATTCCTTCCTCTGTCTGGGCCTCTGTTTCCAAGTCTGCAAGTTTGATGAGAAGGGGCCCTGAGTGAAAACCTTGGGGACATGGTGAACCGCGTCCAGCACGGCCAGGGGTGAACCTGAGGAGGGGCGGGGAAGGATTGAAAAAGACAGACAGGAGAATACAGCTGGGACCCGGTGGATCACTGCCTGGATGAGGAAACAGTGACCCAGCCCGGAAGCCAAAGCTTTATCATCAGATCACACAAAGCAAAGCAAGGGGCGTGGTCAACATGTTGACAATGTTCTTGCGAGTTCAAATCTATTTTGTTACTCAAGCCTGGTTTGGCGGCACTCGCTGCACCTCCCACAGCCCATTAGCTACCTAGGAACAAGGGAGGACTGTAAGTTCAAGCTTAATGGTGCTAGGGGGGCTCTGCCCTCCAAGCTGGGGCTTGTGTGTGGCCCTGCCACAGGTCAGTCCGAGGCTTGACCCTAGAGCCGCTCCCTACAGCATGGGACCTGGAATGCAGTAAGTGCTAAATTATTGCAACTGTTAAGACCCTTTCGGCCTTATTACAAAAGCGGAAACTGAGGCCCTGGGGGTAAGGTCAGAGCTTCTCAGGTCAGACCAAGAAAATGTTTGCAAAACCTGAAAAGAACACTGCCAAACCCGGACAAATACATCTTGACTTAAATGCCTGCAAACTACATGTCATTAATTCCCCAGTTCCTCTCATGTAGCAATGACGCTGAACGTGTCATTTTATTTTTACTTTTAAAAAATATACTTTTATTGATTTCAGAGAAAGAGAGAGGGAGAGAGAGAGAGAAACATCAATGACGAGAATCATTGATCGGCTACCGGGGATCGAGCCTGTCACCCAGGCGTGTGCCCTTGACCGGAATCAAACCTGGGACCCTTCAGCCTGCAGTCCAATGCTCTATCCACTGAGCCAAACCGGCCAGGGCTGAAAGTGTCATTTTACAAGTTGAGGTGAGGAGGGTACCTTCTCTGGATGTCTCACCTTGTCCTGGGCTTAAGGAGTTCTGCAGAGACAGGAACCACAGCCCGGAGAGGGTCAGCTTCCAGCCGCAGGTCACACAACCCCGGGCTCCAAAGATCCTGAATTCCCACCGTCACTGTTCAAATGTGCGTGAGGTTCCACCCCGGCCCCAGGGCTGACCCCTGGCTGCCTCCTCCTCCTGACTTCTCAGGAAAAAAAAAACCACAAAAAACCGCCAGGAAGCATCCATCACAGGCTGTCCAACTGGGCCGGAGGGGCAGGGTCAGCGGGGAGGTGACCTCAAGGTCTCCGTGGGGACCAGGATCCGGCAGGGCTGGGGGTGAGAGGCTGGAACGTTTCCCACCCTGAGATTTTCCTGCGTCAACCCAGGAGGGCGCCCTGGATGCCGCCGGCCCTGCCCCCAACCTCCTTCCTCTCTGGACACAGTTCCCGGCTAAGGATGGATGGGGAGGGCGGCCCAAGGTGAACAGCCAGGCCCAGGAAGGCAGAGGCACTCGAGACTGACAAGATGAAGCACCGGGGCTGAGTGGCCGAGGGATGGCCCTGGAGTCACGCAGCCCGGGGACTCGGTACGCACGGGGCAGCTCGTAGGCTCCGGTCCGCTGGGCCTCAGTCTCCACGTGCTGCCCGCGAGTTGGACCCTAGCCCGGCCCTGGGCGTGTGAGAAGCCCTTGGCCCGGGGCCCTGCCCTCCAGTCCTTCCTCCCCCACACACTGGGGACTCGGCCCTTCCTTGTGTTAAATAGAAACCTCTTTATTCTAAGTATCGTACATTCCTTAATACATTGGATGGGGGCCAGACCTTGAGGTGAGGGGAAAGGGGGGGCCTGGGATATTTCTGTAGCGCCTTCCAACGCCACCCACCACCCGCCGGGCTGGGAGCTGGTGCTGCAGCGGCCTCCTGGCCTCGGGGACGTCCTTGCTCCCTCTGACCCCGGTTTCTCTTCTGTACATCCAGGGGCCTGGGGTCCCAGGCAGGGAGTCAGGGGGACGGTGTGTCAGCAGCAAAGATGGGGCACGGAGGGGGCGGGCGCTGGGAGAAGTCTCAGCGCTGGGCCCAGGCCCAGGTCCGTGACGGAGGCGGAGGCCGAAGCCTGGGCAGACAGGCCATTCATCTCTGACAATTACCTGCTGAGTAGCTTTGGGCAAGATTTTTGGTTTTGTTTGTTTGTTTGTTTGTTGGTGGTGTTGTTTTTACCTCTGTGTCCCTTAGAAATAGCCCCAATTTCTTGCTATTGTTGTGAATATCGGGATGGTGCCAGGGCTTCCCCCTCAGACAGTTCCAGGTCCCGGGCCACGGCCAGGATCTCCTGGCGGGCGGCTGCGTTGCGCAGGCCACGGATGTCCAGGAGGGCGGCCACGTGCTTCCGCCTGGGCACAGAGGAAAGGGAGGTGCGTGGGGTTCTGGGCTCCGGATGCACACCCAGCCCGCCTATGGATACCCCCACCCTGCAACTCATCCATCCCAGAACCTGCCTTAGCTCTGTAGTTCCTTTCCCCCTTCCAGATCCCTTCCTTTCACCAGCCACCCAACCCCGCCCTTCACAGATCCCCTCTGGCATCGACCCCGGACTCTCCCCTCCGTGCCTTGCCCCCTCCAGAACTTCACTTCAGCCATTTCCAAATCCTCCCATTTCCAACGGATTCCACAGCGCTCGCCGCCAAACCCAGTCTCAGCTGTGATTAAAATACCCTTCAGTCTTCAGCCCCAATTTAGCTCAGGCAGCTCCCAGATTTCCATTCTGGTGCCTCACGTTTGCTTGGCTCTGGCACCCAGAACAACACTGAGCCTCTCTTTCATCTCAAACAGCCCCACATTGTCGCTCAGATGTGGCCCAGAAGTGCCCACCCGCCTTCCCTTCCCGCCCCTCCCCTGCCCCAAGGCCAGGTCTGGGAGTTCTCACCACCGCGGCCCTCATCCAACACACCTCAACATGGCTCAACCCGGATCCCATTCTAGAAACGTCATTCCCAAATTCTGCCTCGGAACCTCTTCCCCTTCACCCCCCAATCCATCCCCAAATTCCAGCTCAACCAAAATTCCACTCTGGGATGAAAACTCACTTGGGGGACCTTTATTTCATCTGGAAACATTATACTCCAAACCAACTCCACTCTCTCCCACCCTCTCCCCTGAATCCACACAATGGACCCTTCCCGTTCATCCCACCCACCACCGCGTTTCAACTCAAGACACTGAACCCCATATTCGCTTCCAGAACTTTCATTCCAGACAGCTCTGGGGCTTTCAATCCAGCTCAGCCCACACCGCCCCACACCCCTGATTCGGAATCGCCGCAGCCCCAAAACACTCATCCAAAACATGGCTGAGGAACCTCCCCGCTCAGGCGGACCCCAAAACCCAGCCCCCAAACTCAGCTCTGGCACCGCTCCTCCCAGCCCAGCCTGAGGCCTCAGAAGCTTAGCATTAGATTCAAGTTCAGACACTCCAACCCAGCAGGCGTGCTGGCTGCCCCAGCCCCTCGGACTCCAGGGCCCTGAGCCTTCCCAGGACACGCACTCCACATCCACAACCAGAACAGTCCACCCTGTATCAGTTCAGAGTCCTCGTCCGTCCCCCCGCCAGCCCTCACCCTGGAACCACCCACAGTGCCTCACTCCCTGGTGGTGTGGGCTCCGGTCTGCGGGCACAGAATGTTTGCCAGCCCGGATAGCACTGTGGTGCCCCTGCCACCCCCCCGAACCCCACCCCTGTCTGAATTCACAGATGGCCGTGAGGTGTGGCGGCCGGGTGCTCGGGCTCTGGAGACAGCCTGCTGCCTGTGTTCAAGTCTCAGCTTTGCCACTTGCTACTTAGTCTCTGCCCACCCCAGAGTGGACAGCGCTGCCCTTTACCTACAGGGCGGTTATGTAAGACGCTGTCCTCGGTGGGGCACAGGGACTCCATAACAACTGGTATTGTTACTGCTGTCCCCATTGGCGATGATGATGATGATGATGATGATGATGATGATGATGATGATATGGTTTCACTATTTTCCCCACGGAACAGAGGAGGAAACCGAGGGTCAGAGAGGACCACAGAGACCGGACACGGTCCACCAGGATCGGAACAGCGCCTGCCGGTGGCAGTGCGTGTGTGCCCTGTGCCCGTGC